TCTCAGACTCTTAAAAGTATTTCTTTTGGTTCTTAGCAGAGTGAGCCACCGCTCTCGGGTCAGGGAAGCTGTGATGCAGGCAGTGCAGCCCTGTGCCCAGCTGCTCCCTGCCTGCTGGTGGGAGGCCGTGCTACCTGTGGGGATCGGGCAGCAGCAGGTGGCACAGCTCTCCTGAGGCACACAGCAATTCCTCGATGAACTCGCTGAGGCCGATGGAGAAAGGCAGCCTGCTTGCCAGTCCCTATGTTCTCAAACAGCAAGACGGTCGTTTCCCTCACTGTAAGGTTAAAAGCTGCTCCTCGCAATGAGAGTTTGGCTCCTTTGGCTGATGTTGTCACCTCTGGGCACGGTGGCTTTGCCTTTTTCCACTCTGTTAATTGCATTATAAGCCATGACCGCGTGGAAGCCGCCCAGTAGCGTTTCCTACTGCAGAGGAAACCCTGAGGAAGCGAGCAGCCTCCCGGCCCCTCATTCCCACTGCACGGGATCAGGAAAACCTCTGCTCCACACTGACTGCTTCCTGGGGGGAGAAACGAGCATCCCTGCCTGCTTCACAGCAGCTCGGGCTGCCTGGTCAGCTTCAGATATAAAACAATGAATGTATTTTCTCCTCAGGCGCTGGATGCAGCCAGTTCTGAACGCGATGAAACCAAACAAGCAGTGAGCAGCTCAGGAGGAGTCGTCGCTGCGAAGAACAACGGGGTCCACCTCCAAACAGAGCCAGAGCCAGAGCGTGCAGCCACTGGCACGGCTGAGCAACGGCCTGCACAAAACCAGCGAGCTGCCGCATCTTTAGTAACAGCTGAAACAATAGGAGAAGTGGATGGAAGTGCACAGCATTGTTTGCAGCAGGAACCTTCTGACACCGGTGCGGCGCTTCCTGGCAAACCTGGGGGAAAAGAGCGAGCTTTAGATGAGGCGTTTGCAGGCCTGGGGTTGGAGGGGGGGCGGGCAGGGGGGGCGGGGAGCCCAGCTGCATCCCCACTCCTGCAGGAGGTGGGTGAGGATGGGAGCGTGCAGAGCATCAGGGACCACAGCACACACTGCAGCATCGCCTTCCAGAACTCTGTGCTGTATGAACTGGACTAGCGGGGCCGCGCCAGCATTTCCTCCTCGTGTTTGACTGTGGTTTATGGCTGCAGGGCTGAAAGCAGAACCGGGTTCCTTCTGAAACTCTTAATCTGTCAACGAAGAACGCTTAAGCCATTAATGCTTTGTGAAGTTAACATGTCTAAGTTTCCTTTATTCATACATATGGGTTGAACTAATGTCACTGACGGGAACGACGCAGCTGAAGCTCTGCGCTCCTGGAAGACAGTGCCTCTTTATTGTTTATGTAACTTTCTTAATCTGTTGCCAAATTACACGGAGTAGTTGTATATCCTTCTTTTAATGGCTCCCTCAGGAGCTGCTGTATTTAGTCCACCTAGAAATGAGCAGTGTTCATCATTTGCTCAAACCCTTCATTTTGTGATAACTGCAGGATTAGGCAGCCGCCGAGTTCTAGCAATCAAATGAAATTCCTAATTACACGGAGAAGTTCTAATTAGTCTCCTAGAAATAATTAGCATTTATACCACATATTCTGCCCTAGTACATGTTTTCAGTGATGCAGCATCCAAGCACAGCCCCGTCTGTCAGCTGAACAAACACAACCGTGCAATAAAACCATCCTGTCTCGTGGCCGTCTGCTCAGCGCAGGCGACTTCTGGAGCTGATTCCCTTCGTCCAGATGAGATGTGCTGTTGAGAAGCAGCTCCATGGGAGCTGCAGCACGCTGCGGGCTCCTCCTCTCTGAAGTGCAATAACCAGGAGAACAAATCTACAGTAAACTTTCAATTCCCATTCTGACCGCTTCTGCTTCTGGTTTTTGAGTTGCACAAGACCGTAACTCTTCAGAACACAGTTAAATGGGACGTGTTTCACAGCAGCTCTGGAATTGCCCCCGTGCTGCTCTGTGAGCTGCAGTGCAGAAGTCCCTAGGGGCAGAGGGCCTGGGGGTGGGGGCTGTGCAGGGAAGGTGAGCCCATGGTGGTGCAGCCCTGGGGGAGGGATGGGGGAGCTGACACAGCCCGCACTGCTGTTCTCAGCATCAGCCCTGACTGTGGAACGATGAAATGTAGCAAATACCAAAGCTCATACAAAATCTTGGCACTCAAATTACCCGTAACAAAAATGCAGTTTATCATGGCACATTCAGAGTAAACGTTTTGTATTATTTGGACTATTTCACAAAACCTGGCTCGCTCTGGAAACCAAAGTGGTGTCAAAGTGGGGAAGAAGGGCAGTGCTGCCCATGTCCCCGTGCGCTGTTACCACTGGTCTCCTAACAACACCAGCCCTATTCCATCTGATTAAGAAACAAAATTGGTTTTTTATATTCCCCCCAGCATCCCTCAACGTAAAATCTACCTGTGCCAATTTTGGTAGCAGCTTCCTTTGCTAACACACCCGTGTTCCACAAACCTCTCTGCTTCCAGACGTGCTGTGCCATCACCTTAACGCGCACTGACGAGTGCTGGCTGTTAACGAAGGGCTCTGCTGCTTTCACCTCCGTTCAGCCCCTTCCATCACCCAGCACTGCTCCCACTTCACGCCGCTGACAGCTCCAATGCAAGCTGGGGGGCAGCACACAGCTGTTCCTCTATTCTAGCTCCATTAGTGCCATTCATTCAAACCACAGTGAAGTTCAGTGCAGGCTGATGGACGGCGCCCCACGGCCCGGCTCCGCAGCAACACAAGAGGCCATCACCTTTATGGGATAATGAAGAACTCCTCCAGCATTACAAAACAACTGAATTTTATTTTGGCAGAACTAAAAAAATTGTATATATTTATCTACATCGTAGTAAAAACCATGATTTTTTTCTTTTTTTCCTTCATATATTCACCAACACGCAGCCAACCACCCGGCACAGCACGGCGCCGCGGATGGCAGGGAGGCAACGCGCTGCCCCAGGACACGGTGCAGAAAAAGAACCCAAAGCGTACGCAGCGAGCACTGCAAAGACGTGCTTGGTGCAGAGCTCTGTCCTCCTCTTCCTCCTTTTATTCCTCCTCCAGGTGAGCGCAGCACGGAGCACAACCATCCACGCTGCTCCCACAGCCCGGCCGCACACAGCGCTGCCGAGCTCCGCACGCCGGAGATGAACGTTTTGGGACACCTTTGACATGAATGTTTATTCATATTAAAGCAGAAACCAACTCATAAATGCTTGTTTTTTTTTCGTTTGTTTTTCTCTTTATACACATGTGTGTCTGTAAAAGACGGGATGGGGCAGTTCAAAAAGGAGAAGGCTGCGAGCGCGGTCCTCACTGGAGGCGGCGGTAACTCTTACAGAGTTCGTGGTCCCGGATGTCCCCCCAGCCTCCGTTCTTGACGTGAGGGGACAGGGGGGCCATGGAGTACCTTTTGCTGACGCTCATCGTCTCGGGGAACAGGTACTGCCGGTTGCTGCTCAACAGAGAGTCGATTTTGGCACTCTGGGAGGACGGCCTGCAGGACTTCTTGTGGTGCATGCCGCAGTCTCCCGTGTGAAACACGCGCGGGATTTCGGGTACCAGCACCTTCCAGAACTTTGGAAGACACGAGACAGTCAAGTGCTGCAGCGTCCAGTCCCAGTTGTAGTCATCGTACGTGCAGAAGGCGTCCGTGCACTCGATGAGCTGCCTGTAGGTGTCTCTGCCGAAGGCCATGCCCATGTTGTGCTCCGTGGACTTCCACGTCTTCACCTCGGCCTTGTCGGCGCGGCCGGCGAAGCCCCCGCGGCCCAGCGCGTAGGAGCCCAGCGAGACCAGCTGGCACTCGGGGCAGTCGCGCTGCCGCAGCGCCCACAGCCGCTTGAGGACGTGGTAGAAGTCGGGCGCCAGGTAGTGGTCCTCCTCCAGGAAGACGACGGGCCCGGCGTGCTCCCGCAGCGCCCGCACGCGCTCCCACACGAAGTGCAGCTTCCACCACCAGTGGTGCTTGGTCTGCGAGAAGCGCGCCTCGCGGTAGTGGCCGAACGAGTCGGGGAACTCGGCGTTGAGGCAGCCCAGGCGCAGCGCCGCCGCCCTGCCCACGTCGCGGGGGCAGTCGCGGGGGTCGTGGCCGGGGAACTCGCGGGGGTACAGCTGGACGCTGAAGGGGAAGAAGACCTGCAGCACCGGGCAGAAGTCCACGCCGGCCGCCAGCCGGTTCAGCTCGTCGGCCCACAGGTCGTGGCTCAGCACCAGCAGCACGTTCTCCACGCCCGCCGCGCGCCGCAGGGACTCGAGCAGCAGCCGCAGGTGCTCGGCGCGGTCGTGCACCTGCACCACCAGCACCACGTCGGGGCCGCCGGGCCGGGCCGGGAAGCGCCCCGCGTTGCGCAGCGGTTGGTCGAAGTTGAGGCGGTAGACGAGCGAGCGGTAGCTCAGCGTGCCGTTCTCCGCGCCGGCGGTCGGGGCGGCGGCGGAGGCCGAGGCCGAGGCGTTGCCGGCGCCGGCGGGGCGGCGCGGCGCTTCGCTGACCCGCGGCGGCTCTCCGGTGCCGCCCCGCTGCTGCGGCTGCTGCGGCCGCCTCCGCCGCCCGCCCGTCCCCCCGCCTCCCCACAGCACCAGCGCGCAGGCCGCCAGCGCCAGCGCCAGCAGCAGCACCTTCCGCTTGTAGATCCGCAGCCTCATCCTCCCGCCGCCGGCGGCCGCGCTGCCGCCGGCGCCGCCGCTCCCGCTCCCAGCTCCGCGCGTGTGCGCGCCGCCGCCGCCCCACGCTCACACGTCGCCGCCCGCCATAGGGCGCCCGCGTCCAGCGCCGCCGCGTCCTCATTGGCCGCCGGCGACGCCATTTTGAGAGGGGCTTCCGGCGGGGCGGAGCTGCGCGCGTGTGTCTCTGTGCGTGCGGGGAGCGGGGTCCGGCCGTGGTGCCCGGGGAGATGAAGGGACGCCGTCTATGGAGCCGCTCCGAATCTGCGGCACTGAGGTGGATCCTAACAGAGGTCGCTCCCGGCCGTGCCGATGGGACGATACACCGCACGCAGAGAGCAGATACAGCATTTAATGACACAGAACGGTACAGGAACGGTTAAAATAGCGGAGTGAAGAAACCTTTACACATCAGAGTGAAGAACTCCCGGGTCTCTCCGACATCATCATTACACACCAGGAACCCCCAGCGTGGGATTCAATCTGCACAACGCCCAAGGAAACAAAGCACAGCTGGTGTGTTTAGAAAAGGTGTTTCTATTACAAAGAGATACAAATTGTTCAGTAAAAAAAACGACAACAAAAGGCCCCTTCTTGAAGCACAGGCAATGAGAACACAACTGGAGCACGTTCTCATTCAACCAGCATTTCTGGCTCCTGGCAGAGGCTCCAGCAGCAGCTGGGCACCGCGTCCCCTCCACGCAAGGCTGCGACAGAGAACCTCCTGCAGCTCCTGCGAGAACAGGGCTGTCAGTGGTCGGCGCTGCTCTGCAGGTACCTGTCCAGGAACTGGGAATAGCAGCCCAGAGAACAGAAGTAGCAGATGATGGGCGCCTCCGTGCCGCCCATGTTGTCCACCAGGACCACGGTGTGAGCCACGTGGTGCAGGTTCATGGTCACCGTCAGCTGAATGAAGCTGCTCAGGCAGGCGCTGCCGCACTGGCAGGTCTTGGCCACTTCCAGATCTTTGCAAAGGTGGGAAGGCAGCAGCTGACAACCGTACGGGATTCTGTTGGACAAGAGCAGGAGGTGAAATCAATCAGTGTCACTCAAACACAGCGGTGCTGCACGCTGTCAGTGCCGAAGCGAGACCGTCCCCAGCACTAAGCTGAGTTGTGGCCGCTTTCTGAGAGAGCCACAGATATCACACAGCTGCATTTCTGACCCCCAAGTGCCAAGGATTTGACCTCCGGAAAACACTGCACCAAGCAGCAGGGATTCCCACAAATCGCAGCAGCCTGACTCATAGCGACAGGGAATGAAGAGAGAAATGGATGTGAGAAGATGAAGCAAAAACACACCCACAGTAAATGCTTGCCCTGCCCTCTCGTTAGCCAGGCAGCTCACCCAGCTCAGCCAGGTACCCAAAAAGCTGCTGTCATTCTGACATGAGGAAGCAGCACCCAAACCTGCAGTGTGCACAGAGGCAGCAGTGAGCCCGCTGTGCTGCTCGTGAGAAATTAAGGCTCTCTTGTCAAGGTGTTGTTGTCACCAACACAACAGAATCACTTCAGTTTGAACTCGCAGCAGAGTGGCACTGCTTTTGGGGCGCAAAACAAGAACTCCCGTGTGCTGTGTTGACTTCCAGGTGTGTGGAAGCCACCAGCTGTCACGCAGGACTGGCAGAGTAGGTCTGACTCACATCACTACACCTATGTGTCCCATTCTTTCAGCATGCCATCATTCACATAGCTCAGGCTCCTGTGGTTTTTGTCATCAGCTCAATTTCAGGACATCCTTTTTTTCCGGTCAGGACAAACACAATCACAGCTCTGGTGCTTGCCCAGAATGCCACTACGAAGATTGATTTCCAAGTGTTTGCTTTTGTGTCTTGTTTTCTTCCTCTCTCAAGGTTCTCACAGCTTATTGTCACTCCTGTTTCTTCCTCTGTTAATTCTCACACCCAGTGAATGTCACACAGAATGCCTGTCACCTACCTGCTACTTTTTTGGGGGGGGGAGAGGGTTGGGTGTGAAGATAATCACACTTAGCAAGTCCATGTGATGGACTTCCACGTAAGAAAGCCCTGCACACAGTGCCCCACGGCGTTCCCTCCCTCGGTGCTGCTGTACCAGTCACAGCACGCTGCCAGCTGTGCTCCCACAGGTCTGAGCAGGTGCTGATTCCACTGCCCCCACCTTCCCGAGCCTCCTGCAGCAGAAAGCAAACACTGCAAACCCACTGTGATTTATGTAAAGTCAGAAGTGGGCAAGGTTTGAACCTGAACGCTCGGCTGCTCACCTCATCCGCAGGGTGCGCCCCGTGTGCCTGCAAACACCTGGAGCACGGACTGCTGAGCAATCAGGCCAGCATTGCTGGGCTCTCCCCACCCCAAGGCAGGAACGGGCACACCAAGCAGGTTAGGAGAACCTCAGGTCTTTATCTCACCACCTGTCTGTATCCGTGACTCCTCCACTGCCTCGCCGCCTTTCCACCCAGAAGAGCAGAGTGGGGATGGCAACAGATGGTAGCACAGGCAGGGGCACACAGTGAGAGCTGTAAGTGCTGCGAGGGCAGGGGAGAGGAGGACAGACAACAACAAACCCAGCAGCCTGGCCAGCAGGGCAACGACTTACTGGAATGCCTCTTTCTAACACTGCTCAGCTTCTGCACGGTGCCACGCAAAGCAGCCTGACCTCAATGCTGTGTGGCACAGGGTGACGTCCTGCCAGTGCTGTTCTCACATGGGAAGGGACAGCTATGGGCTGGGTTTTCCCACGTGGTTTTAGCATAGTTTAATCTGAGCGCAGGATGAAGGGCAAGCATGTTTGAAAGCAATTGCTAAGCCAGAGCCCAACAGAAAACACGACCAGAGCCTTAAAATCTGCTGTAACACAGGAGGACAAACTCCTGCATACAAAGAGCTGGAAGCAGTTCAGGATTACAGAGCTGAATCTTTTCCTATGGCTGGACAAGAATATTCTGTTATGGTGCCCTCATCCTGTGGATACAACTCATTTCAATCTACAGCATTCTCTAAATGCTTCCTAGCTCCCAATTTACTGCTGGAAGCTGTGGTATCCTGGATAATAATGGCATTAATTTACGAGCAGAATTCAAAGCAACTTGAGCATCGTGAAGAGCAGTTCCCACTAATGGAAAAAAAACCAAACCAGGGAAGCTGAGCGGGTTTGAGACAGAGGTGAAATGTGTACCCATCGTGCTACCCTTACCTGTAATTTACAGTAGCTCTTGCAGCACACTCTAATAAAGTCAATGGTATTTTCAATTGTATGCTGGGAAGAAGGGGATTGGGCTGTTCAAAAGGATTTCCAAAGAGATCCAAGTTCTCAAGACAGAGCTTCCTAAAATCGCTGGGCAGGAAGGGCAGTTTGTTCCGAGCCGCTGACAGAAAGCGCAGATGATCCAACTGGCCGATCTTGAACGGCAACCTGATCAACTCATTGTCATCCAGCTTTAAATTCACCAGTTCTCGCAGCTGGCAGAACTGAATCGGGAGCGCTTTGATTTTGTTCTGGCTGAGGTCCAAGCACTGGAGAGATTTCTGGAGGGTAGAGCTGCACAGAGCGCTGCTGAACGACTCCAGGTGATTGTCGTGCAGGTTCAGCTCCTGAAGGAAGACCAGCTCACCGATGGTGGCTGGCAGCTGCTTTATGTGGTTGTGGCTCAGGTCTAACTTTCGCAGCTTCTTCAGACACAGCACACGCGTGTCGACCCGGGCCAGTTTGCAGTATGAGGTTTGGAGGTGCTCGAGGGAATAGGGGAAGCCCTTGGTGAGAGGATAGTCCCTTCTGGAAGTGATGATCAGTTTGGTTTTAGGCTTCTCAACTTCTGAGGTCTTTGCTGGTACCAAAGCTGAGAGTGGGAGAGCAGCGACGTCGGTCCCTTGGTGAGCCAGTCTCACAGCTGAAAGGAAAGTCTTTAGATTGCTGACATTTGCCTGCAGGAAAACACGAGCATGGCATTAAAGGTTCATTATTCTTGCACTCATTTGTACAGTAACTTTTGGAACTATTTTCTGCAGACACAGAGATCACAGCATGGCCTGGGTTGCACAGGAGCACAGTGCTCATCCAGCTCCAAGCCCTGCTGTGTGCAGGTCGCCAACCAGCAGCCCAGGCTGCCCAGAGCCACATCCAGCCTGGCCTTGAATGCCTGCAGGGATGGGGCATCCACAGCCTCCTTGGGCAACCTGTGCCAGTGCCTCACCACCCTCTGGATGGAAAACTTCCTCCTAACATCCAACCCAAACCTCCCCTGTCTCACTTTAGAACCCTTCCCCTTGTCCCATCACCATCCACATTTGTAAACAGTCACAATCATCAGGTGATACCAGCTCAGCAGGGGAAACGATTCAGGCTGTTCCACTATGTGCTGTTTACAGTATTTAAGAACAAATGACGAGCAAAACAAACCTCTCTGAATAGCCCAGAACCAGCAGTGTTGGCACTCAGAAAAGGAACAAAGCACAGATCTCTCAGCTGAACAGAAAGTACAGAAAAACAGCCCCACACACTGTGATGTCCCTAACCTGCAAGGTGATTAAAGGACAGTTTACACCAGCACTGGAGGGAAAGCAAAGACTTAATTATCCCATGCACATCTACTTATTCTGATGGGATATCCTCCTGAGAGGGGGAAATTGCACAGCAAAAGCTTGGTTCTGCAGCTTTCATCTATCACATCTATCTCAGCCAGCCTAAAACACATCACAGAATCACAGAAGGGTCTGGGTTGCAAAGGAGCACAGTGCTCATCCAGCTCCAACCCCTGCTGTGTGCAGGTCACCAACCAGCAGCCCAGGCTGCCCAGAGCCACATCCAGCCTGGCCTTGAATGCCTGCAGGGATGGGGCATCCACAGCCTCCTTGGGCAACCTGTGCCAGTGCCTCACCACCCTCTGGCTCAAAAACTTCCTCCTCATATCCAACCCAAACCTCCCCTGTCTCACTTTAAAACCATTCCCCTTGTCCCATCACCATCCACCCTTGTAAGCAGAGGTTGAATAGAGATAGGACACGCTAAGCAGCTCTCTCCAACCACAGGCAGAGCTGCCATGCTCTTAAGTACAGATCAAAGCAAAGCAGAAAGGAAGGAGAAAAAGTACTCCAGATCTGTAAAGACCAAGTGGAACAGCTCACTGATGGAATGAAGTGGCAATATTTCTTGGCTCTTTGTGTGAGATGCAATAGCTACCTGCTGCTTCTCATAGCTAAACACTCTGGGATGTATAAGTAAGTTTACACTGTTTCGTGAGTTGAAAATAACAGTACTCTGTGCTGTGGGTGTTTAAAATAGATTTCTTCCACAATATCTACATAAAGGTGCTATAATGTCTCTAAGAATACATTGAGAAAAATACCAAGACAAACACGCAGGAAAAAAAATGAAAAGAATTATCTGGAAGCGTTCAGGAAGTAATTTTCTGCCAGAAGTCCAATGCCTTCCCAGTAGAAGAGATGTCAGAATACTGAATTAGTGTGCTTTGGCACCACACAAGTCCTGTGTTGCAGAGCTAAACGAGAGATGAACAGATTATGGAGCTGTCAGACCTTGTGTGCAGTGCAGCAGACCTGCTGAGGGCAAAAAGCCCAACACAAACCCACTGAACACACTGCCCCATCCCTGCAGGCATTCAAGGCCAGGCTGGATGTGGCTCTGGGCAGCCTGGGCTGCTGGTTGGCGACCTGCACACAGCAGGGGGTTGGAACTGGGTGAGCACTGTGCTCCTTTGCAACCCAGGCCATTCTATGTGTGCCCCCCTCACCCACCTTACTGAGGCACACATCCACGGCGGGCTCCTTCAGTCTCACGGTGGCTTTGCCCTCCTCCACGAAGCGGGTGAAGAACTGCTCCACGTTGTCCTGCACCTGGAGGGGAACAGCGGGCATTGAGCAGGGCGGGAAGGAGACCCGTGCGGCCCTCCAGCCCTCAGCCTCACCCGGTAGCGAACCCCGGCCCGGTCCCGCGCCGTGCAAACCATCAGGCACACGCCGCCCCGCGCCCGGCCGGGCTGGCGGCCGAGGGACAGCAGAGCTCTGGTGCCGCGACCGCGGCCCCGCAGCCCGCAGGTGGGCAGCAGCCGGCTCACCACCTCCACATCGCACTGCAGCCGCATCGCCGGCCGCTCCTCCCCTCCCTTCCCCTCGCCTCGCCTCGCCTTCCCTTCCCGCCTTCCCGCCCTTCCGGAAGGGCGGGAAGGGAAGGCGAGGGGAGGGGAGGAGCGGCCAGAGCTGCGGCTCCGGGAGCGAGCGCCGCCTAGTGGCGGGGCGGAGCGGGAATCGTGGAGCCATAGAAGCGCTCTTCTAACCGCCCCACTTGGAAAAGTCCCCTGATATCCCGCCCCCACACCGTGTCCCTCAATGCCACATCCCCGCGGTTCTTCAGCACCTCCCGGGAAGGTGACGAGGACAGGCTGAGAGCTGAGGGCGCGGTGTGGTGGTAGAACAAGAGGTGATGGCTTGGAAAAAAAAAAAAAAAGAGAGATGGAGGTTACGCAGCTGTACGACTCGCTGTCGGTCAGCAGGAGGCGCTGCGGAGCCTGCAGTGGCGCGGTGCTGCCAACAGGAGGCGCTGCGCGCACGAGGCAGTACAGAGGAGTTGGGGGGTCGCAGGTGGGCAAAAGGGTTTCGTGGTGCGGGCAAAAGGAACCCGCGTCTCTCTGTGTTGCCCAGGCTACGCTGCAGTGGCTATTCACAGGCGCGATCCCGCTACTGACCGGCACGGGAGTTTTGACCTGCTCCGTTTCCGACCTGGGCCGGTTCACCCCTCCTTAGGCAACCTGGTGTGCCTCGGCTCCCCGGGGCTCACCATATTGATGCCGGCCTTAGCGCGGACGCCCGCTCGGCATAGCGCACTGCAGCCCAGAACTCCTGGGCTCAAGCGATCCGGCGGGCTCAGCCTCCCGAGTAGCTGGGATTACAGGCGTGCGCCACCGCGCCCGGCAGCGGCTCCACCGCAACGCCTCTACTATAGCTCTGCTCACCGCTGACGTCACGTCGCGGAGGGAGGGGGGAGCGGCACGGTCTGAGCGCACGCTGCCCTCCGTGCTCTTGCGCCTGCGCTCTGTGCGCTGCGAGGGCCGCGCCGCGGTGCAGGGCGGGAGGCCGCGCAGGGTTGATCAGCGCATGCGCGGGCCGCCATCTTTCTCTCGCGGCTGGGCGCGCGGCAGGCAGCATGGGGCACCAGCAGCTCTACTGGAGCCATCCCAGGAAATTCGGCCAGGGCTCCCGCTCGTGGTTTGTATCCATCCCGGGGGCGGGTGGGGTTCTTAGGGCCGTTGTATCGCGGTATCCTTTACTCTCTGGGTCTTCCTCCCTGCTCCGCGCCGCCATTACTCGCCCTGACCGCTCCCTTCTCTCTCCACAGCCGCGTGTGCTCCAACCGCCACGGCCTGATCCGTAAGTACGGGCTGAACATGTGCCGGCAGTGCTTCCGCCAGTACGCCAAGGACATCGGCTTCATCAAGGTGAGCGCCGGGCTGCGTTGAGCCGGGAGGGCTTTGTGCTTCCCTGCTGGTGCCTCACGCTCTTGTCGTTCTTTTGCAGCTGGACTGAGCGCTGGCAGGATGAGGCTGTCACCAGCGGATCCTGCGGCTTCCTCGGGCCTCCCCGTCCCACCTGCAGCGCCTTGGTGTAGCCTCTCTCAATAAATGGTCTCCCTGCCCCATTTGTCTGTGTCCGACTGCTTTCTGTGACTGTTTTTGTGGTTTGTATCTCATTACCATGCCTGTTTTAGGAGGGCTGGGTGGTGTATTGGCCTACATGGGCCTGCCTTGGTCTCTTAGGCTTTAGCCAGACAAAACCAAGTGATGCTTTAGTGATGCTTTTGAGACCTAGAGATGCAGCCTGCCTGCTCTTAGCTGCTTGATGACTCTCATGTCGTCTCACCTAATTAAATTGGGCTCCTGGGAATCTCTTGCTGCCCTGGTCTGGGTTGGTGTGTTTCAGAGAATCCTTTGAGTTGGCAGGGACTCCTAAGGGCCGTCTGGTGCTGCTCCCTGCAGTGAACAGGAATGCCCACAGTCCCATCAGACGCTCAGACCCCATCCAGCCTGACCTTTTGTCTTCAGGCACAAGGTACCACCTCCTGTCTGGCAGCCTGTGACAGTGCCTCAATGCCATTACTGTACAATATGAAACAACAGAACCCTTCATCCTTACATTCAATATAAGTATCTCTCTTAGTTTGGAACCATTTCCCGTTGACCTGCCACAATGTGTTTTGCTGAAGAGTGTGTCTCCTTCTTTCTTACGACTCCCCTTTAAGTATTGAAAATCCTTTCTAAGGTCTCCCTGCAGCTTTCTCTTCAGGTTGAACGGCCCCAGCTCTCACAGTCTGTCCTTATAAGGGAGGTGTTCCATCCCTGAGATCGTTTTTGTTGCCTTCCTCTGAGTGTGCTCCAACAGATGTTTGTCTTGTTGGGTGTGATGGGAATCCTTACACTTCCCTCACAGAGATAGTTCAGACTGAGGTAGAGGGGTGTCTTCAATGTGTGCAGATGCTGCTGATGTGCCAACTTCTGTTATGTCTGACTTAGGAATCATTCCCAATGTTTGGGGAGGCCGCCCATCTCTTAGATAGGATTTGCCACTGTTTGGGGTGGCCTTATAATTAACTTTCAATTTGGATTGAAGGTGTGTGTCAGGAGGCTGTTCTGCTATCCAAGCAGGTTTTTTTATCATCTCTTTGAAGTTATTTTGCTCTGCATGAAGTCACTGAGCAGCTGAATGGTGCAGTTATACTTGTATTGGTAGATAGACCAAATCCTTCCTGCCGAGTGCCCTGAATTTAGTCAGGGAATCCTCTTGGCCTTTTTTTTTCTTGTCCAGTGAGTGTTAAATGAAACTGAACAAACTGGAGTAGCGTTGGAGGGATGGGGCCATATCCCAGTGCTGGTGGCTGCAGTGTTTGTTCCATGTGCTATTAAAGCCTTGCTGCTGAGGTGGAGAAGGGCATCAGATCCTGATCTTCATACCTCTCTGAATTGTGGAGGAACCCTGTTCAGGTTTCTGTGTGGACGGAAGCAGATTGGGATGTGACGGATCCTGTGGTCATAAGATCATGGAGCTGTCAAACAGGCAGACATGCCTGACATCATGGCTTGTGGCCTATGGTGAACTTTAGCATCCTGCTAGGAACCTCTGACAGCGTGTGGCTGTTGAGCAGGAGATTGAGATGTGTCTACTGCAAAAGCAGAAAGGCTGTGGGGGTAATGTTGCAGGCTGGTAGCAATAGCATGGGGTGTTCTAGCCTCTCTCTCAATAGCTGGCCAGATAAACTTCTGTTGCAGTGTGCTGCAGTCACTAAGTGGTTTAGGAATTACCTGAAGCTAGCTTGAATCTTGGTTGAGTGCTTGGTAAGTAACACCAAGTGTGCAAAAGTGAGTTAAAGCAACCAGCAGGGTTAGCATATTTTCCCCCCAAGATGCACTGCTATCTGGAGAACTGCTGTGCTATTTTCATTGCAAGGGGACTAAAACTGCCGTGAGCTACAGGGAAGGAGCAGGTAGTTCTGGGGCACTAAACAAGATCAATTAATAGCAAAATCCTGATACAAACATTGAAAGGTGGCTGTGTGGAGCTGTGAGAAGATTCCCATCTTGCCTTTGCCTCGAGGCAGTAACACATCAGACTGAGCACGTTCCCTCATGGTTCTGCACATTTTAATAATGCACCAGCTCTCCAAATGTCATGCAGGCCATCTTGCATGACTGTTAACCAGATGCACTGAGCCTCCTGCAGCCCGAGATGGTGATGCCTGAGGAACCAAATGAGCTGGGAAGGGCTGGAGGGGCCCTTAAGTGGAAACTTCTCAATGCAAAATGTTTAGATCCATGGGAGGCTGGCGCAGGGCACAGGGAATCGTGCAGATCCAGCACTGCTGGGGCTCTGGGCCTGGAAGCTGAGCGTGTGTTAGCTGTGTGATGGAAAATGGTAGTAAAAAAAGCTCTGTACCAATAGCTGCCCAGTGGGGATGCAACCGAAAGTCATGTTCCTACCAGTAAACAGAACTAAAGGATGTTTTTGAATTACTTTGTACCCATTAAAACAGCTACGTTGTCACCTGGTAATTTGGCAAATAATAAACCTTCTTGCTTTGTTCCTTATTCTGCTGCTCTCATCTTTTAAGCCTACTGGGAAGGTGTTGTAGCACAAACTGTGATGCCTTTATACCCACTGCTGCCTAAACTAGGTATTTATTGCCCAATATATAGAGAGTGGTAGGTGCCAGAAGCCAGAGTTTGCTGAGCTCATTGTGAAAATTGCCTTTTTTTTCTTCCTAAAGTTGATGGTTACAGGCTCTGAAGGTGCACAGATGTGAAGCTGAAACTTATTTGGAAGCAAAGTGATTTATAAAGAGCTGCGGATTCCCCCGAAGAACAGGTAAAATCAAAGCACTCTTTAAGGACTTTGCATTAATGGCGAACAACTAATACATGTTTTCCTGTAGGGAAATAACATTGCCTGTTCAGAGCCTAGTAAAAGCTACTGATAGCTTTGCTTTGAAAAAGATGAAGCTCCAATTGCTGAAATAGAGTTTATGTGGGATTTGGAGTATAGGAAAAAACACCAAATTGCGTTGGATTATGCACCTGATAAGATCTGTGATTATCAGAGGCTCTGAGAGGAATTTGCAAAGCTTTGGGTAGAACACTGGCTTTTGCACTCACCCCGGGGCTAGAAAAATGAAGCTGCCTGACATGCTCAGATAGGAGAAATACAATTCCTTCAGGTAGGCTGCAGCAGCACGGGAGCTGTGGGGGTCCTCGTGCCTCAATGGCCTCCTGCACAGCTTCCCTGTCTGCACACAGAGCTGCAGCCCAACCTGTGGAGCTGCTGCATGGCAGCAGTTGGGTGTGGGGTGGCCTTTGGGCTGTGTTCCTGCTTGTAGCATCTCAGGATGTGTGCCAGGGATCTCTGTCACCCTGGCTATTTCTGGTTCCTTGCCTCAGTGACTCTGAGGGCTGCTCTGGTGTCAGTGCAGGAGCTGTCAGAGCTGCAGTGATCCTCAACCTGAATATTCATCAGCATGGCCGCTGCAACCTACCTGAGTTATAGCTTTCTTATTAGAAACAGCTGATTCTCCTGTTGCTGCTGCTTGAAGATGTCTTTTGAAGATGTTTTTTTCAGCCAGAGGGTGGTGAGGCACTGGCACAGGTTGCCCAAGG